GCCCGCTCTAAGAGTCAGGAAACATAGTGGAAGAGATAATGGAAAGAATAGATCGTAGGATGAGAACTAGGGATGCTATCTTTTGAATGAGACATGGTCATGGCACTTCTGAACTCAAAACAGCCTGCATAAAACATGAACAAGATTGAGTTTGTAAAAAAATGAGTCAAAGATGAGAACCTGGGGCTAATGGTGCCCCACTGCATCCAAGAGAGTTAATGGGAATTGAGTGCTACTGGGAGAAAAGTCATTGTCTTTTGTGATATAACCACTGGTGAGTGCCTTATGCTTCATTGAATAGCTACATGTTCTTACTCATGCAAATGACCCTAGTTAAATGAAAATGCAAAAGTAAAAATAAAACAGAAAGACTCTAAATTTATATAGGAATTTGAAGAAAGGGGGAGCATTGTGAGGGTGATGGTGAAGGTATGAATATATATATATATATATATATATATATATATATATTACAATTCTGCTACTGGAAGAAAGGTTGTGGCTGACTGGAGTTGGGTAATAGTCAAAAGTATCAGAGTTTGAATAAACATGTATTTGAATATATATGACTATAAAAATGTCAAAATAGATTTTCAAAAAAGGCAATAACAGAATAGAAAAATAGAGATAGAGAGAATACATGTTTCACAGCAAATTGTGGCAAGTAGACTTTATTACTCATGTTTAATCGTTCTTTTTCTGGAATTTTTCATCTCCATTTTTACAAACTTCTAGAACCTCCATAACTCTGAGCTTCTCAGAAGGATTTATCACATGGGTGTGTTATAAGAAAATTTGTGATTGAGGTATAGAGGTGTCAGCACTCATTTTGGGCATACATGCTCTCAGTGAAGTCATTACTGAGACCGTTCATTCTCAATCCAACAGAGAAGGGAGGCAAAATTTGATAAGTCCGAAGGAGTCAAATATGGGATGCTTCTCTTTTCCTGCTCTCGTTATCTCATTCATAGAAGCAGAAAACAGACCAGTGATTTCTAAAGACTGGAATGAGTGGGAGCGGGAAAGAGTAGGAAGGGATTGACTAGCAAGTACGAAGTCACAGCTGGGGAAGAGGACAACCTAAAAAAGTCAGCATATCAAAAAATTGTATTGCTTATTTTAAAGTATCTAAAATAATTGGCTGGAGTGTACCTACCACAAAGAAATGGCAACATTTAGCTAATGAATGTGTTGATTTCCCAGATTTGATCATTATACCTTGTACACAGTTATTGGAATACCATACTTATACCATATGAAATTATGAAATACCACACTTAGACCATACTTAATGAATATGTAGTCTTAAAAGTCATCTTAATGTACAGTTAAACTCAGAAATAAACATGTCATCTTATTATCTCATAGTAGTATTCTTTATTCATACTCAAACTTTCAAGCATTTCTCAGCTCCAGTCAGTTTCCACGGCCCTGTAGGAGAGCTTTGCTAATCTCCCCTTTCTATCTTTCTAGGGAAATAACTACACTCTTAGCAATGATGGTCTCAAAGCCACAAAGCCAACCTTGCTTCACTTCGCCTTTTTGTTTCTGGTTTTTTAATTTCTTCAGCTTGAAAGCCTCCCTCCTTAGCTATTCAGTGACCTACTCTTTGTCCTTAAGGAGGCAGCTGAAGAGATGTTCTGATGACAAAACCACCCACTCTGGTTTTCCGCTTGCTGACTAATGTATTCCTTCATGACCTCATGGCATTGTGTGCTTCTTCCTTGTCCAACAACTCACGGACTTGAAAACCTAAACACTGATCACCCAGTCAACTGACTGGTCATTGAGGGCGATCTTACTCATATTTATGGCCTTCATTTCTAGACAAATTACTGGAAACAGAGTAAATACTCAGAAACATCTACTTACATGGATCCAGAAAGTTATCCAGAAAAAAACACAGCACAATGGCTTCATACTAGAAATAAGAGAATAGCAAACAGGACAGAAAGCATTCTGAGATTGTGAACAACCTAAGTAAAACCACTAGAAAATAGTTAAAAATCTGGTTTTGTGGCTAATTTTCCTCATTTTCACTAAATTTCAATATATTTTGGTTAATAAGAGGGTTTGAGATGTTTAATAGAAATTATTGTAGGGTTCCGGGCAGTGGGACCAGGACCTGTTTCTGATGCATGAGCTGGCTCTTTGGAACCTATTCCCTATTTCCTGTAGTGGGATACCTTGTCCAGCCTTGATGCAGGGAGCAGGGGAGTAGCTTGATCCTGCTTCATCTTGATGTGCCATGTTTTGTTGATTCTCATAGGAACCCTTACCTCATCTAAGTGGAGATGGAGGAGGAATGGATAGTAGAGTAGGAAGGATGTGGGGGTAGGGAGTGATTGAAGTGAAGGGAGGGGAAATTGTGGTTGGTATGTAAAATAAAAAATGAATAAAAATGAGATTATAATACTATTATAAGATATATTTCACTTTTATGGAGAGTATTAATGCAGAAATTTATATGTATAACAAATGATATTCATGCTGAGAAAACATATAATTTACACTTGGTTTTAGACCAAAAGTGATGAAATAATACATTCAAAATATTATTTATAAAAACAAATCCAGACTACTTTTAAATAAAAGATATTGTTTGGAAAATATTAATTAATTTAGAGGGTTTAATATTTCAACTTTAGAGTCAGAAATTATATTGTGCCCTGATATTGGGTTCACACCATTTCCTTATGTACAGTAGAAAGATTTCAAAGTGAATGGTAGCCTGGGAAAATTGTAAGAGATGCTAACAGACTTAAAGAAGGTCCAGTTGGTAACAGTATAAAGGATTGAGATATTTATCATCTCTCTTGTGCTTAGAGAAATGGAAAGCGCATTGCAACTGGGAAGTTTCAGTGGAATTTTTATGGCAGTTGAGTACCACAGACTTTAATGAAACTATCTGATAAAGCACGGAGAAGAGGAAATGGAATGTTTGTCGCCTGAAGATAAATCCAGGCTTGTACAACATAAGGCACACGTTGGAAGAAAGTCTTAAAGATGTTCTCATTTCTCCCCACTGACAACTGCAACACACAGGCATGATTAATCACAGTAGAAGACTTTCAAATGGAAGACAAAGTATAGACAAGTTAAGTGCCTTACAATGACAGCTAATGACAATGACTCAGAAAAACAGATAGAACCCATGTTTGTAGATCACCAATAGCAAGGAACTTGCAAACACTAACAAGTGTAAATTTAATCAAAGGTACAACAAGCCTTCACAGTTGAAATGATATTGTAGGAAAGGAAGATTAAATATTAATAAATCATAGAAAGACACCAGCCCTCAACAGGTACCAGATTTCTACCAGTGGATTTGAAAGAAGCCCATAGAAGACCTGCTCCCCACTTTCACAGGTGCCAACAGTTTTGGTGGAATGGATGATTCTTTGGATGATAACATTAGCATTTAAATGATCTTCTTAAGGCTCTAACAAAATTAAATTTGTACATGAATACATCATCGTTTTATTAGTTCTTAGAGAATTTTGTACTTATTTTGATCCTATTTACTCCCCCCTCTTCCAACTTTTTTAAGACCTACCTTTTTTCTACATTTTCAACTTTGTGTTGTTATTTTTTTTTTAACCCATTAAGACTAATTTGAGGCCAGATATTTTTTGAATGCAGGGTCTTTCACTGAAGGCAGGAGATTTACCAATGGACACACTCTTGGGAAAAAAGCCAATCCTCCCAGCAGCTAACTGCTGCCAATAGGTCTTCAGCTAGGATTGGTACTTGGTATTCCGCTCTCCTCTCGGTGCTGGCATTTGTTCTGGCTTAGACTTATGCAGGTCTTGTGTACGCTGTCACAACCACTGTGAGTTCATATGTGCAGCCGCGCTACTGTGTCCAGAGGACACCGATTCCTTGCCATCGTCTATTGCTGCTAACTCTTGCTCTCTTTCGGGCTCCTCTTACCCAAGTGAGCAATGGACGGTGGGGGGAGGGGTTGTAGTATAATGTGTTCCTTTAGGGCTCAACATCTTTCAGTCTCTTATCATCTGCACCGTGGCCAGTTCTGGATCTCTGCGTTAATCACCATCTCCTGCAAAAAGAAGCTCCTCTGATGCCGGTGGAGAGATACATTAATCTGTTACTATAAGAAGTCATTAGGAGCCAGGTTAATACTATGTCCATTAAGCAGCATAATAGTAGGTTCTGCCGTGTTTTGTTACACTTGCCCTTGAAAGTGCAAATCCCTATTGAATACAACTTTCAATTAAAAGTGACTCTCTCTCATATTTGATAAGGAGTGGCAGGCAATGCCTTAGCAGTTCAACCACTGCCAACTTGGCTCATGATGAAACTGTGATGCCATATTAAATATTAAAATATTTGGATGAAATGACTTTTGCATGGGCCTGTTTGAGACTAGAGTGGCTCATGATTCCTTTTACATTTGTATTAGGAAGACAAGTGAAGCCATGGATCCTGCCTTAACCATGTGTAGACCTTCCAGCCATGTCCACAGGCTTATGCATGCCAGTGCACATTATGAAAACTGCATGTAAAACAGGGAGAAAGTGATAGAAAAAGGACATTTGATCCACAAAGAAACAGGCTAAGATAATTGCTTTTTCCCTCCCACTCCCCCTTTCTTTTCTTCTTATTCAGCTTCATCTGTCTGTCCCTCAGCCCTGGAGGAGGCCATGGGCTGCAGACTCACTGCTGGAATGAAGAGTGATTGAGCTGGAGCTGAGGTCAAGGTAAATCTCTGCTCCCAGTCATTGCTGCAGCCTCCCCTTCCCTTTCCCTAGCTCCTCAGCAGCTTCTCCTGGTGTAAATCCCCTGCAAAGACACCGAAGCGGCCGCCGAAGTTGCCGGGCGCAGGGCTCCGGAGGCATTGGCTCAGGAACTTTTCACGTCATTCCCGGCTCCGGAGCCCCTAATCGCGGCGGCGCAGCCTTTCCCACCGCGGATCCCCGGTGCTCATGGGGCAGGCGAAGACAAGCTTGCAGCACTGAGCCGAACAGGACCAGTCCGTGATGTCCAGCACCAAACTGGAGGATTCCCTCCCTCGTCGCAACTGGTCATCTGCTCCGGAGCTGAATGAAACTCAAGAGCCGTTTTTAAACCCCACGGACTATGACGACGAGGAATTCCTGCGGTACCTGTGGAGGGAATACCTACACCCTAAAGAATATGAGTGGGTCCTGATAGCAGGGTACATCATCGTATTCGTTGTGGCTCTCATCGGGAACGTCCTGGGTGAGTCTGGTCGCGGGCAACCCTCCAGAAGGGCTGTCACCTCTCCTCCGCCCAGGCTGCAAGGCTGGGAGACCCCTCCCTTCTCCTGGGGTGCAAACAAAGAGGTCGCGGCTCTTGGGTGAGGTTTCTAATAATTTGGGGGGTTAAGTTTTCTGATTTTACAAAGTAGGGACGATCTCTAGAATGATTATTGTGTCTGTCTGCAGAGAAAAAGAGGGAAACTGTCTCTGTTAGAGAACCTAGCTTACAAGCGCAAGGAGAGGGACAAGGACCTCCAGGTGGATTTGCTGAGTGTAGGGGAATCTGTAATGCTTTTGTGCAGACTGGGTGGGTTTCCTGGGGAGGGCTTGCATCCGGAAAAACTGATGAAGTCATAAGGCCTTCTTGAGCTCGTTACCATGCCTCTAGCAAGAAGGTTTAGGCTCGGGTCAAGAAGTGGTAATGAAGGGGCAGAGTGGAGGGAGAGGCAGGCAGAGGAGTGCGCTCAATCACAGAAGCCAGAAGCGGAATTAAACAGAAACGGTGCCTGGAGCAGCAGGAGGAAGGAGTAGCATCCAAGAAAAGTGCTCCGGAGCTCGTCCTCACCACCCATTCAAGCATTCATTCATTCATTCATTCATCCATCAACTAATACTTATTCCCCCCAATGAGTGGTTGTTACCAGTTTCAGAAAGATGTTTGTACCAACTGATTCCTTTTTCTTACAATGAGACTACGCTTAATAGCAGAGTCTGTCTTGGTCTCCGTAAACACAGGTTTCCTTACTCGCTCATTACTGTCTTCCAACCACAATTTCTGAGGGGTAAAGTGAGGAGTAAGGAAACTATGGGAGCTGTGACGGTGGATTCATGAGGACAGGAGGGGGATCTCTTTCAAGAAAAGGCGCTTCCTTCGGGAGGAAGCTACGACTTAAATTGTGAATGGAAGGAGTATGTACCTTGATGAATGGAGAGCAGAAGGCTTTTCAAATGCAGAGGGCACTGTGGAGGAAGGCTGTTGAAAATGACCCGGAGGAGGCAGGCAGCCTGGAGACGGTGCTGTCTCCCCAATAAGAAGGGGGAGAGGTGAGTGACATGAAATGGGCTGGGAAGTCAAAAACAAAGATTGTGGCTGCAAGGAACTCAGCAGGCTTGCAACACTGCCCTGGCTTTACCTTCTCTTCCAGTTCACCGTGTAGATGAGCTGACAGTGTGTGACTGAGAGGGCTCTTTAGAGAGAATGCGCGTCAGGCAACAAGAAATCTCTGAGAACTTTAGCTTGCATTTTATTATTTTAAGATATTTTGCGTTTTGAATTTTTCTTAGGATTAAGATACATGCGTTGAGTATCTACTTTTGCAAGACCACTTGACATATACTCTATTGCTTAAATTTTAAAATAAACCACTCTAGAAGATGGGATGGCTTATTAGAGGACATGATTTAGATTCAGCTCCATTTGTTCTGACCTCAGATCCAGAACTCTCAATTGTAATTCCACTCTAAAGCTAGAAAGCAGGTAGAGAATAGATTGTCTGTCCTGGGTTGTCAGCAAACAGTCTATGGGATGGGCTCCTTTTCCCCGCTGGATCTATGGACACTGCCAGTAAAGTTCCACTGTTATTCACTTCACATAAAACCCTGTCTAGGAAGGGATATTTTTGCTCTCAAAATCCAGAAAAGTAAAATTTTTAAAGAAGGAAAAGATATACATTACCATCATTTTCCTTCTTCAATTTTGTCTCAGGCTTAATCTTTGTGATAAACATGTTCTTCTTTGATGTATTCCAGTTTGCTTTGCCTAGACTCTCTGATGCAGCCTTCATGGCCCTATTGCATAGTTCAGACATATGCATATTTGCTGGTTGGGGGAAGAGTAATATGTCTACACTGAGGCTACTCCATAATGTCAATGAAGACAGTACTATCTACAGCCTCAAGTCCTTAAGCGCCCAGTTCCATTCAGCTTAGAAGAAAGATTTACGCAAAGAATTCTAGTCTCTAGATACTGAGAGCTATTTCCCTGAGGACTGGATTACATCTGAATAACACTGAAGTCTTCTCTGGGTGAACAGAGCCCATGCTCTGCTGACACAGTCCCTGAAAGTTGGCGAGGTTAGGGTTTGACATTTAAACAAATGAGCACTGTCATTACTTACAGACTTCTTGATCTTCGATGTCACTGTCAGCTCTGCAAAATGGATTAGAACAAGAATTACCCTTATGCTTCATGGTACGAATAATAACTCTACTTGGGGTGTCAGAAGTGACCCTACGGAGTAAAGTAAAGGGATGCCATGAGTCTGAGGGAGACATGACACAGTCCAGGAAGCAGATGTAATTACTGACCCTCAGGTCCATACAACATGTACACTTTCATGTAACTGATTACTTGGAAAATATCAACCTTGTTGAACTTACAAATGTAATGCCATTAGCTAGAAGTCCTTTTTCTGACAATGTCCTTTTGTAAAGTGATGCAGCAGAATATTGTCTAAGCATAATAGCAAAGTCTTGATCACTCAGCCTCTTCTTTTTCCTCCTGACAATCTCTCACCATCATTATGTCCCCACTTCATTATAAGGATGCTCCTTGCAGAGATAGAAAACAGTTTCCTGGAAACAAATGACAAAGTCATTCACAAAAAAGGTACAATTACTGTAAATGGGAGTTGATGAGTGTTTGTGTTCCAGCCGAAAGCCATATGCATGTCTAATTATGGAACTTTAAGTCCTAGGAAGCAGTAGGTGGGAAGGTTCTATATCTTATAACCAAGTCCACTCATCTACTTATTTAACTGCTGTATCTTGAGCAATATTTTATTTATAAAATTGATGTGTGTTAGAAGGAAAATACTTTGAAACATTAAAATAAATAAATTAGATGTAGTCTTTAGCCTTATTCCTTGAGAAGAAACTGGAGGGAAAGATGTTTCTATTCATTCAAATGTTAAATGCCCACGAAAACATTCAGTTCTCTGCCTCTCTTCCTCCACGTTCAATGACATTGTTTCACCTGGGCAATTTCAAACATCCCTATCATTACCTGGAATAAAGTAGTCTGGAAAAAAGAAACCATCCAGACAAGAGACATTCACCTAGATATGCTTCTTGCTGTTTGTGTGTCTGCTATCAAGTTCTGAACTCTCCAACTCTAATTACAAACTGAAGTTGATAATAGTTGCTTTTTAAAAGTCATATCACAAATAATATATACCTTCCACTAATATAAAAAGGAGCATGCAAACATCTTTTTTCTTGAAGTATTAAATACGGATTAATGTCATTTTGTTGTTGCTGCTGTTCTAGCATTTCCACTAGTGATGTGCTCCCTGTTGAGGTTTGTAACTGTCTTCTGCTGCCATAGGCTGTCTTGACTATGTAGCTCTTTTCAGGCCTCTGCTCTTACCCTATTCCTCAACAGAGTATTTTTCTAAAAGAAATGAGTAAAATGGAGTTGGTCACATTACTCCCCCTTTCCTATCAGATCCATATACCCATCCCTCTGGAATTGTCTGCTTAACACTACCTTTCTGACTCTCATGCAAGTCTTTCCTATTTTTTTCTTCACAGATTATGCTTGCTTGCAGTATGTCTTATTTGTTTGTTTGTTTGTTGTAGTTTCTGTCAGTCATTTGTCTCAATGATGTTCTAAATATGAGGCAATAAGGTTAAACCACATTGTCACTTAAGGATTTAACCAACAAGAGTTAAGGAAAATTTTATTCATGAGAGGACAGGCATGTATGTAATGTAGCTGTTTTCTAGAGTTAACTTTATATCCTAGACTTGGTACTGGTAAAACCACAACTCTAGTCCCAGCCTCCTTTGCAGTTAGGTTGATACAATGTGATGGTATTAGATGACACCCAATGCATGTTTGTCACATTATATTTTAATCAAAGAATCAGAATATTGTTTCCCCTACTTCACTTTTGTCCTACCATGGAAACTTTAAGGTATGCACTTAACTGAAAATCAAAAGTAGCAAGATAAAGCCAAAAATAAATAAATAAATAAATAAATAAGAAGTCTATAAAAATGCTTAATCTGAAAATCAGACACAATATCTCGGGTTTCTATTTTTTTCCTTCTGATTTTAGTATGAAGAACATAGCTAATGCAGTCAAAGAATTTTCATTATCCAGGATCTTAATTACTTTTGAAATTTTTCCATGCTAACATTCAAGCTCGCTGAATTCTCACTGGACTCTTCACATTCAGAACCATGTATGCTGATGTTCTATCTCTGATGAAAGAGTAGACCTCTGTTGTTTGAGTCAACAATCCGGAGTTATTTACTCTGCTAGGGGTCCTATCTTTGATAAGTAATGACTCACTGGAATGGATCTGTCAGTACCATGTGACATGCATGACTGGTGTGTTTATCTCCTATTCCTTTTCTCACATAAAGAAAAATGAAGACCATTTGTTGAATACTATGAGTCAAGCTCCATGTGCTAGGCTCCATCCACATATGTTTCAATGCCACTTTGTGATAAGTTAAAATGCAAAAAAAATCAAAAACTGTTTAACAAATGAGGGGGAAAACCCCACAATTTTAATCAATCTGAAAGTTCAGTTACACAGAAAGTGGCAACTCTAAGCCTCAAATATGGATTTGTCAGAACCAGTGCTCCATGTTCTAGTACTTCACATGTCCTCTGTATCATTTAAGCTTGATGGGAGTCGCACAGGCGAAGGAAGGGAGCAGACAGTGCCCTGGTGTCCTCCAGAGAGCTTGCAGCACTGTGCTAGCATGCTGTCAGATTGTTTCTCTGACAGATGACACTTCTTCAGCTCTGAGGATGAGCTCATTTGATAAGCCAATCAAGGTCAGGATGGGGTTACATTACAAGAGAAAATTTCAAGGTAACATAGGTACTGCCAAAAATGCTTTTGCCTGTTCTGGGGAGCTGACTCACTGGGGGAAAATGTTAAATAAGTGTGGCTAAGGATTTTTATGTTTTTGAAAGTATTATTGTTAGACATAAAGTAAGACAAAAAAAACATTTAAAAACT